AACCTTCAATTACTTCAAATTACTCTTCAAGGTCAAACCTATGGTACCATCTTATGTCCCCCTCGAAACCATACAACTTTTGTCTGAAACATTTTTTCATATCTCTTTTAGTTTTTTAAAAAATCGACTGTATAAATTAAAATGGCCCACCCTGTATATACAGGGTGTCCTGAAATTCGCGAATCAAAATACCATAGCAAGAAAGTCGTCGAAAAATTAAATTAAGTTATTTGCCATTTTTCGTCCCGAGCAGTAGTTTTTTTAGATAAAAAGGTTCAAAACAGGCCAATCATACATTACGGTTGAACGGAAACCCGTCCGTGAGTCGCGCATCGATAGTGTTAGTGCATTAACATGTTTTTTCATGTTTTAAATATGTTTCTTTTTGCACTCATTTTAAACAAGTTTAAAACATAAAAGACAGATTTAAACAGAAAAAAATATGTTTTGTTTTTTCTTTTTAAACATGTTTCTTAACAACCCTGGTACAGGTTCGCGGGGAAGAGGATCAGGAAACACGCCGTGCCGTATCGCTGCCGGTGTCGGCGGCGTATCGGAGCACGCCCCCCCCTTTTCAAATGGCTATCACGCGTGAGCGTTCCTGAGAGAGAGAGAGAGAGAGAAAACAGAGAGAAGAGAGAGAGAGAGAGGCTCGAGGCGGAGAGACGCGCAGCGCGTCGCCGACGACGTCGACGCGCGGGATTCGCCTCCTCGTCGCCCGACGATCGCCCCCCCGGCGTTCTCCACGAGGGGGAGTTGGGGTTATGCGCCGCTGGCCCGAGGAGCGCGACCACGTATCGTTCGCACGTGCACGGGCGTCACGGCGTTGCGGGGCGGTAACGTGGCATATGCTCCGCTGAGCGGGAGAGCCGGGCGCGCGCGACCACGAAAGCGAGAGTGATGGGAATCGACGGTATGAGGGTCGGCGGTGGCAGATGCCCGCCCCTCCTGGTCGGCGGGCTCCTGCTGGCGTGCCTCATGCTCGTCTGCAGCTGGTGGACCCTGTCCTCCGAGAACCTGGAGCTCATCAGGCAGATCGACGACCTGAACGAGCAGCTCAAGATCAGGTGAGAGAGAGCGCGCGGCGGCGAACTCTGGATTTCGTTAACCGCGGCGACGAGTGACGAACTGACGAGTTGCCGGTGCACGTAATTAAGTTGCGGTCGTTGCGGTTGCCAGAGCGTTATGTCACTACGCCGCTCGAGTGTTTGTAATGAAGGTGGCTGGCTTGAAGCGTTCCTGCCGGGCGGTTGTTGCAGAAACGTGGGTCTCCACTCTTCTTGGACCGTTGTGTAATCCGCGAGACGTGCTGCGTGTGCACGAGTTTCTTTCGCGTTGAAATCTCGCTCGCGACTCACTTGCGCAACGCGCGCCTGCAATATCTCGCAATGTTTTTAGGCTGTTACTCGTTGCGGCGCGTAGAAATGTTCGACGCGACCTGGAACCTCGGTTCTGACGAGGAAATGCATTTCTTTCCTTTCAGTGCTGAGGAAAGAGACCAGTGCGTGACGTTGCGCGGCAACTTGGAGCAAAGGTTCAAACGCACGGAGGATGAGTTGGCCTCCCTGCACGTCCGCCTGGAGCAGCAGATGGACTTTAAGAAGAGAAACGAGGAGCTCGAGGATTCGGTTACCGTGTGCAAAAGTGAGCTGGACTCGTTGAACAAACTGGACGCCACGAAAACCGCAACGCTAGAAACTTTGAGACTGGAAAAGGACACTATTAACAATCAATTGGACAGAAAGCGGGATGAGAATAAGAAGCTACAAGAGGAAATAGACAGAGTACGGGCCTTTCATTTAATAGCGTAGGGTCGATTTTGATTTGAAGAATATGAAGCGAATGTACAATTGATTTTACAGCTGAAAGGAGAAGTGGATCAATTCAAGCTCGGTTGCAATTCGCCGGCCGAGAAGAAGGAGACGCCGAATCTCCAGCAACGTAAGTTACGATTTTATCACGAGTTTCGTTCGACACGCATTTCGAGTTTTCCATTATGACAAATAACCGCATTCGAGTACCTGTCGAAATTAACTTGCCGCATAGTTTATTTGATACACGAGAAATATCGGCAGTGTAAACGTACGAGTGAAGACATTTGTCGACTTAAATTGCTAATTGCACCCTGCTTTAACGGCGGGAAGAGAGTACCCTCCGATTTTTCTTTATTTCAAATCGCGTAAATTATTCCCATTAAGTTCTAACTCCGATTGGGCTGCTCACGCAAGAATTAATGCAACTACAAGCTCGTCCCCCCCCCCCTTTGTTCGCACATTTTTGACCGACTCACAATCAGTATTATAAGATATTGTCGGGATTTGCTGATCTAGCAACGACAGTGGTCATTAACAAGTCTCAGTTGCATCCCGTACCGGAGTCTGCTGTAAGAGTGTCCGTAGCTGGTCAGCGAGGTTTGAAGTTCCACGGAATTCCGATCCTACCAACAAATCCACCTGGTGCTGTGCGCCAGACTCCTCGTTTCTCAGTGACCATGTTGAAGAGAGGTAGTGATACCTTTCTCCGTCCTCGGGGCGAGAGAATGCTGCCACAAACGTGAAAACCAATGCTCACAGTAGATTTGTACATAATTCACACTTTTCGTATATCTGTGACTAAAAGCTCTATTAAGGGCCTACTATATCGCTTCTGACTAAGGTGTGGATCGTGCCCGGCCCTTCGGGTTCTAATGACATACAAACTATTGTTTCTCTAATATCGAACGCTGAAGTTTTCATACGAGAAAGACTGTTTTAGTACTGTAACGCAAAGTTGTCTTCATAAAATACAAATGTAATAGTTAAACTTGTCGTGTTTTACGTTACAAGATCTAATTTTGTACATACTAGAATAGTATAAAGTATTCACGTAGTTGATACGCTAAATCGCACAGGCACGAGTACGATTTCCGAGTGAATAGGTGCCATGCAATAACTTATTTTTCTATAAGGATTGTATTAAAATTGTTATTTTAATTATCGAACATCAAACACGTTGTTCTTTCCTAGGCTAATTTTTATAAAGTGATTAAATTGTGTACAGTAAATCTTTATATAGAGTGGGGCGGGTGAGAATTATTTAATTATACAATTAAGTTATGACAATCGTTAAGTTTGTGTAATGTGTATTTTGCGATTTAACGGCTTGTTGCAATATTGTATTTGTAATAGGATCTTACGATTAAATGATACGGAAGGCATTCAATGTGAATCACAAATTTTGATTTGTATTTATAGAAATATCAAACAATAAAAAATTGTGATAAACTATGCAACACTTTTAACTCTCTTTAAAAATATCAACCGTAAAACACAATAGATCTCTCGCGCGCGCACAACGGTAGGAGACAAACATCTTACACGTGTAATACTTTCGGCAAGACATTCCTGCTTCTAGGCTAAACCAAAGGATGGTTGCGGATGATTAATATTACTACAACAAAGATTTCGGAAAATTAATATTACTAAAAGAAACTAACGCGTCTTTCTGATGGAGCTTGCATTAATAATTGTTAATAACAATTACTCTCACTGCTACACGCGGTATCTAATAACGATTCTCCTTGTGTGTACAGTTGACATGGATATTTTGTGTAACAATTAAAATTTTTCAGAAACATACACACACGAACTTTTTACTTTAGTATAGTAATTTAGCTTACATGGCTTTCAGTTGAAACGGATTCGAAACAAGCCAATGGCACGTCGAATAATGCCGCAGAGCAGGATATCCCGGTTGCCAACGATTTGGACGATCCTGAAAATCGTGCACGTGGTAATTAGAACTTCAAACATAACATCACTGCATAAGTTTACTTCTCACTTTAATGCGCCGCAAATTGTAAAAGTAGTGTCCATACTCGTGTTATTACCATTTGCTTCTAGTTATTACAGTCACTTTTCTATCTTATTATCGCTACACGCGTATTCTGTTCCATGTAGAAAACCGAATTCTAAAATTCGATTTGTCAAAGGGGACAGTAAAACTAGGAAATAATTTTTTTAAATTTTTTTATCACATATGTAGATAACAATGGGGATGACATACAAAGCACAGAGGAAACTATGCTACTCCCAGAAAATTATGACGAAGAAGATAAGACGCAGGATGCCACAAAGAAACCTGGTGATAAAGTATAGTGTCGCGCGATACAGCTTAGAAGTAAACAACGCAGTCTTGCTTAGCGCGAGCTACTTAGTCTAAAGTATAGTTATAGATTGTAAGCGACACTCTGACCGGATCGCGGATCATTCGGCTATAATGCATCGTGTAAAATATTGTGCTCAATGTTATCGTATACATGCATACTCAATTGTTCGCGATACAAGTATTTTTTATACGTTGCTTTAACAATGTGTACCTACTTCTTAAATAGGTTTTTTCTACAATACCGAAGATGAGACTACAAAATAATGTACGGACGTGCCAAAATAAGTTGGTCATTTTTTTTATATATACATGTTTGAGGCCATATGTGAAATCTCTATGTAATAAGCGGATACTGTGATCATTGGAAGATCTGAAAATGAATACTAATACTTATTACATTAGCATTCGTAGATAGAAGACGTGCTGCAATAATTTTCTGATGAAGCATGTTTTGTATCAGTCAAAGGAATTGGTGAAGCTATACAATATATTGTAAACGTTTTACATGAAACTATACAGAAAAAGATGGGCAAAATTTTGAAACAGATAAATGCCTTTTTTTGGGGTCATTTTTATTGCAGTCCTATTGGGTAGATATTAATAAATTCGGGTACAAAAAGTATCGTTGCGGTTTCCATTAAAGGTGAAGACAGTTTGTAACAAATTGTTAATAATGAAAATTAGGCGTGATATTAATTCTTTTGAAGTTTTATTTCCTTACATTCCTTATACTTTATTGTAAAATTGTTTTATATCCATGCTGTGCAATATATCAGTTTTATATATCCTTGTTAGTACATATTCAAAATATACTCAGCTTACATAAAATTTCGTGATTTCATTGCAAAATCCCTACAGTTTATACTTCTACGATGTTCATTTGTACCGTTGTATAGTACAGCATCGAGTTCACTGCTTACTGCAGGCGAGGATTACGTGCGTTAGTCTGCAGTTCCTATTTCTCAATATTTTATACATTATTAAAATTTGTATATGTAAACGAAATAAAAATATAACATCGAAGTGATCGTTGATTATCATATTGTCCTCGTAAATTATAAATTATTGTTCTCTACATGCCTTGTCGCTACTCTTTCCATTATTTTCACTTATCGTGTCCGAGATCCATAATTCGTATCGCATTATGTTTGAGGCTTAATCTCCCTACTTGTCTAATTGATAAATGTCGTGATATACAAAATGACGATGTTACCTACATCTTTAATGGCATGTAGCAATTTTTTTTTCACCAACTTTTCTACATACAGTGATGATGACACATAATGGTCGTGATGACCTTATCTCATTATGATAGCTACTTCTGTTTCTCACACTTTTAATTCTAACTGATATGAGCGTACGAACAGTTTATGTTTCAATGTCGCATATTATGTAAGTTTCTCTAAACATGCAGTTATATATAAATATATCGATTCATCTATTTTAATCCGTACGATTATTCTTTATATAAATTATATATTGCAGAGTCATTGTCGTAAATGCTGCCAATAATACTTATATTTGCTGCTGCAAATAGTCACGCTCGTTGCTACCGCTATGAAATAAATTAGCACATGTTAGCAACATAATCTGTGTACCGTGTGTATTATACACGTACTTGCACTAACTTGTAGCTGTCGTTCAACATAGAAAATATAAAATTATACAAATTTAATATTAAATAAATATAAAAAATGTAATGTTTTTCACATTTAACAATATATATATATAAAATATTACATGTAATAATACACATATATGTATATATACATTTACAATATTGTAATACGTAACAAAACATTAAAATTATTAAAACTGTGCATTAATCAACGGTTATCTATGGCTAAAATAATACATTATTACAACAAAATACAAAATGTGACTAGGAAAAATTAAGTAACGACTAGATAATAATTACTACGCGGATTTACGTCTAAATGATTGTTATTTGTATGCATGTCTTATATGTTAAAGTGACTTTTCCTTACCGCAAGTGTTACAAGTCTCATCACACTAATTTACGACTAAAAATCAGACTAAAAATGAATCGATGACTGATGAGAATAATTTAAAAAAAATTATACATAAAATACATATTACATAGTATATGTACATATTCGACAAGCTGCATAGGACATTTATTACTAATCAAGTAAATATTAAACTGTACTCAAACGCTCTTTGAATTGAAGTATAACATTTATGCCACATACATGCACGAGTTCCGATTAAAGCTTACGTGATATTTTTTTCTGAGCCTTTGTGCTTGTACAGAAATAATATAATATTTACTTTTATTGCCAGTTCAATTATTCATGTCTGCAGACATATTTGTATGTTTTAGAGAAATGTCTTTTCGAGATATTTTAGAGATCATGCGCGTCACGTTAACGGTAATTAATACTAAATGCATAACAATTCTAAACTTTGCAACTTACTGCAACTTTTAATATAGCTTTCATCCATAATTTATAGCAGCGTAGTCTTTCATATATATTTACATAAAATTGAATTGAAATAAATAGAATTCAATCTTTTATCCGTTTTAAAATTGCAGTTATGTGGTAAAGCTTTTGCATAATATCCTGCATCGCCAAGAATCATTTCTTGGCATTAACGTTTCATATACTTTTCTTTGGTCACAAATGTTGTTTAGTAATAAACTAAAATTTAAAAGTCATCCGTAACCATCGGAGACTCGTGAAATATTTACTTATTCCAAGTTAGTTGCCTTAGGATCCGTTTGTGTCCACTTATCGCCACTGATGTTTCGCGAAACCTGACTCGAATAAACACTAACAGCCTTCGAGATAAATAAATATCACGGAAGAAATCGCCGTTCTAGAAAGCTGGAAGTCACATATACGCTATATCCCTCACAGGAGGTGTAAATCTATTATGCATCGTGCTCTATGTTTATTTAATTGAGCAGCGCGAATGATGAATTCCGAGATCTCAGATCTAAGATGAAGACAAAGTGTGCGCGTTCCAGTCCGTTTGACACAATTTCACTTTGCTCTATATTGAAAATACGCACTGGGGTCAATGGTAAGGCAGTGAAATTGTTGATGAAGTTCGTCAGTCTCGAAACAAGGGTAACTATGCGTCGCGTAAACTATAATAATTAAAAAAAATTATAGGTAATATCTATTTCGTTGTGGTCTGCTACGATATTACTCCCGCAATTGCTACCGTACGTTCGGCTCAGCGGTCTATGAAGAACGATGTAAAGAAATCTCATCAAAAACCAGTTTTATGGGGCACGATGGGAAGAAGCGTGTCTCCGCCGCCGGAAGATGAAGGCGAATATCGAGCGAATTCGCCACCAGCGGCTGCGCTTGCGGTGTGAATTGCGGGATCTCTCCTTGGAGCGGATCTGCCTGATCAGGGAGAAAAACGCGTCGTCTACGAATTGCCTGAGGGCGGCGGACGTCTCGTAAAACGGGCAGCCGAGCTCCTCCGCCAGCGCCTTGCCCTCCTCCGTGGTCACCTAAAAACAGGCGTACGAGCTCAGTGCACGCGGGAGATCGATACTTTATTGCGCTCGCTACGTGTATTCACACTTTCTGATATATCGCGGCCAGCTCGGCGGCATCCGATGTACCTTTCGATGATGCTGCAGGTCAAACTTGTTGCCGACCAGCACCAGAGGGATATTCTCGTTGGCTCGCACGCGTGATATCAGCTTCCTGTACTCCATTGTCTCCTGGAAGCTGTGCCTATCCGTTACCGAGTAGCATATCATGAAGCCCTCGCCGCATCTCATGTACTGCTCGCGCATGGCTGTGAACTCCACCTACGCACAACAACAGCGGCGCGGCGTCAGGCTCGGTCTCCGTTTGCGTACAAGAAAGCGAGAATAACGTTGGTGACTATCGTAATACACGAGTCTCGAACCTGTCCAGCTGTGTCCAGGATGTCCAGGAGAGCCGCCTCACCGTCGATGACCACTTGCGTCTGATACGAATCCTCTGTAAACAAGAGAAAGGCTACTATTCTCTTCGTGTCAATCTCAAAGCTCCCAACGCAGGCGCGAGTCTCTCGGACCCTGTGCACATTTTTATCTACTCCGGTCCCCGCCGATATCCACGCCTGTGCGCAACGCTCTTCGCATCGACTCACCTATCGTAGGATCGTGATAGTCCAGGAACCTGTGGCTGACAAACTGCAAGGTAACAGCTGCAAAGAGAACGCGAGTCTGTCATTAAGGCAGTCCGGAGCGAAACGTTCGCTGTGAAAGACGACGGGTACCTGATTTGCCAACGCCGCCGTCGCCCAGCACGACGATCTTGTATACCCTGGGCCTGCTCCGGGCGGACTGCGCCGGCACGTCGTCCTTGCCGTTGCAGGCGGCGTTTCTGTCCTGCGGGATGCCAGCCGCCGTCGTCATCGCGGCGGCCGTCCGGCCTTGCGTACCGGCGCGCGGCAGGCGCGTAACGATACACCCCTCAGCCTACGACGAGGCGGCGGCTGGCACACTTGACCGCGCCGCGTCGGAGCGCGACCGACTCAACGGACACACCCGTGTTGTTGACGGCGGCTGCTGAGCGACGGGCGTCGTGGACGACGCCGTGACTCATCTTTGACGCGCGGGCGAAGCACGTTGGGGCTCAGGTGCGCGCGGTGCCGCGCGGCATGACTCGTCGTCGGGCGGCCGGAACGCGCACTGGCCATCGCTGCGCGGACCGCCGTGCCTGACAGATTCGCGGCGAGCGTGTGACAGCCGCGGGGATCGAGACGCGCGCGCGCGTCCCGGCGCGCGGTTCCAAGCACCTGCGACCACACCGCGCCGTTCGCGCGACTTTTAGCAGCCGAACCGCAATATTTTGCCCTCCCGAGTCCGTAAATCCGTAATGAAGAGAAGGAAACGAAATTGCGTCGAGTTGAATTGGCCTCATCGATTTATCGATGGGTTCAATGAGCGCTTGTCGTATTAAAAAAACAAAAATTGACGTGCATAATGTACATACGTCTCGTGTAACTTAAA